AAAAAAAAGAGAGAGAGAAAAAGAAAGAAAAGAAAAGAAAGCAAGAAAGCAAACGAGAAAGAAAAGGAATCGAGTCTTGCCCTTGTTTTTCACTCTGTCTATAGATATGCCACATACAGAAAACAGGTGGAATTACAAATGCTTTGTTAACAAATGATTTCAGAGGTACATTAAGGAAACAAAATGGCTTTGCAGAGTGGGCATCTGAGCGTACCTTTGAAGAGTAGTTACTGAGTATTCCTCAGGTGGGCACCAGTGATGGAGGCAACCTCTCCAGGCAGCAGAAGACCACAGAGCAGCCGCCCGCTTAGAGGGTTAGTGCCACCTCCTCTCTGACGGCTGAAGGCTGTTTGTGCTCAACCTGGCAGTTTGTGCTTGGCCTGGGAGCTTCACCAGGGTAAACGGTGGCAGGAGACAAGGTCTTGATTCTGAGGCCTCTCTCTCAACCCAGTACAACCTCTCTGCTAGAATTTGAAAAAAAATGTGGTATTTGTGGTACCCTCACGGACTGGATTTAAGGGACATGTGTTGCCTAAGTCCCATCTTCAAAATGACCCAGCAGTGACACTGTTCCTTTTCACTCTTAGGGTGCATTTCTCACCTGCATTATGGCTCAGGAATCTCAAGTCACCATCCCTACCATGGTCACCCCAATTTGAAGCAACCTGGTGACCCCAGGCAGGAACTGATCATCAGGGGAGGCTGGAGGCAGGCGGATTTTTACAGAAATCTAACAGCAGGACCAAAACAAGGAAAAAGGTGGAAGCAGGAGGGTGGTCAACTGGGGACCCAGGAAAGGATTCCAGGATGGTGGGAAGTCCTCCTCCAGCAAGATTGGTGGAGGCCGCATCTGTGCCCTGCCCCTTTCAAGAGATTTCCTCTGCACCCCCACCCACCCCCACCCTGGCCACTGACCTGCAGGAACAGCAGATATAACTGTGGGGCCCCGAGGCCTGCAGGAACCCAGGGACTCAGGAAAGGCAGGTGTTGTGTTGAGCAGGATCCAAGTTAGCCAGGGAGGGATGTGGGAGTCCTTGTTAGAGGAGGATGTGAAGGGATTGGGATGAAGGAGTCCAGGAGGAGCAGCAGGACCCAAGGCCCTCCCTCTGCACACAGCCTTTCTCTGCTGGGCTCAGGCCCTAGCAACAGTGCCTTATTTATTTCCCCCACCCTTGCTCAGGCTTAGACAGTCCTTGCTCCAATGATGGGGCAGGGGTCATAATGGGACTCTTGTGACATCACTACATCCCACCCCTCATTCTCTCCTGTGAAATTCTCCTGGAGCTGTCTCTGTCCTATGCCCTGTCCCAGAGAGCCCTCCTGCTACAATCCTTCCTTCCTTCTAGCCCCTGCCTCCCTCGCCCCACCCACCCCCAACTATTCAGTGTCCCTCAGTAAACGTCCCAAGTTTGCAGCAGAAAACGAAACCGTAGCTCAGAAAAGGTGGCAATTTGCATTGCATACCTTCATGTAGAAATCTAAGCAAAGCTGTTGAACCCACAATCAGGATGCCTTCCAGAGCCGGCTGTTTCAAGACAAGACGCTGCTAGAGGCAGTGAAGAGCACAGGAGGCCTTCCCAGCAGCTGCAGGGAGGGGCAGAGGATTGGGGTCGCCCTCTCAAGCATCTGACCCTGCATTCTAAAACACCTGCTAGCGTTGGATGTCGGGGTTTCCATGGTACTGAATACAAGACTCTGCTGCCTGGTCCACCACTGCTATGACCACAGAGGCCCCCCAATCTAATGTTGCCATCAAGACTGGTAGTTCAGGCTGGGTGTGGTGGCTCACATCTGTAATCTCAGCACTTTGGGGGGCCAAGGTGGGAGGACCGCTTGAGCTCAGGAGTTCCAGAACAGCCTGGGCAACATGGCAAAACCCTGTCTCTACTTAAAAAAGAAAAAAAAAAAAAAAATGGGCCAGGCATGGTGGCTCATGCCTGTAATCCCAGCACTTTGGGAGGCCGAGGCGGGGGGATCACCTAAGGTCGGGAGTTCAAGATCAGCCTGACCAATATGGAGAAACACTGTCTCTACTAAAAATACAAAATTAGCCAGACATGGTGGCACATGACTGTAATTCCAACTACTCAGGAGACTGAGATAGGAGAATTGCTTGAACCTGGGAGGCAGAAGTTGCAGTGAGCCGAGATCACGCTATTGCACTCCAGCCTGGGCAACAAGAGCGAATCTCCATCTCAAAAAAAAAAAAAGAAAAGAAAGAAAGAAAAAAGTAACCTAGATGCACTGGATATGACCAGCAGAAACATGGAGAAACACAGTTCTTAGTGGGGTCAGGCCTTGTGAAGCAGCAGCCTGTGGTTTGGACAAGGTCAGGCTGGTTCCGTGGTCACCCACAGTCAACCCCACCACAGGGGCTGCAGGGACCGGGAGAAGAAGGGTTGGAGTCTGTTTTCCAGCTCCTCTGAGAAGCAGACACCGAGGCAGGATTAAATTGCAAGGGTTTTAGCAGGGGACATACCTTTGTGAAAAGAGTTACAAAAGACTGGGAGAGCCACCAGACCATGAAGCAAGTCTCACTCCCAATGTGAGGGAGAGAGGGGAAGAGGAGAGGTGGGAGCACTCCGGACCACAGTTCTGAGGAAAATCCACAGAGCCTTCGCTGAGTCTTTGAAACAGGCAAAAAAGAAGGTCCGGGCAACCAGCCTGGCCTTAGCATCCCCACCATACTCGGTCATTAGAGGAGCGCTGCCGCAGGAGACCTGGCCTGATGTACTACACAGTGGATACCTGTGAGGAGCCGCACTCCCTCCAGGAGGTCAGCCACAGCGTCCTGGGCACTGAGGTTGGGGACCATGGATGGAAGTATAGCTGAGAGAACCCAGAGGTTCCTGGGCCCCAGGGGCCCAAGCCAGGACCAGCAACAGAACACTTACAGAAAGAACTAGAAGACCTCCTTGCTGGTGGGGTTGTCTTAGAAGGGAGCAGGCGGGTGGGACCAGAACCTCCTGCAAGAAACCAGAACATCGTCTGTGGGGCTCAGAGATTGGGTGGTGTCAGGAAAGAGGCTCTTTTCTATTTATTTTTAAAATCGAAGTTATACATTCACAGGGAACAATCAAGTAGTCAAAAAACACCTCAGAGGCTTTATCTCAGGAAACAGCAACTCTGTCCCCCTTTCCTCATTGCCTGCCCACAAAACCATTTTCCTGTCTTTGAGCTGAGTCACAGACCTTCTTCTGTGCTGTCTCCTTCTCCCAGGGTGATGGTGACCCCCTCTGTTCCCCGAGCCCTTATAGCTATGCAGGATTGCTGCACTGGTAATTTGTTGCAGCAATTTGGTGCAAACTAATTTGACACTTCACTTAGTTTTCCACATGTATAGCATCTTACAGAAGATTACATGAGATTTTAACTCATGGTGCCGATTTTCTCCATAACTGATATTTATGTTGAAACCCTGATAAAATACATGCTGGAGTTCTTTGGCGCTGTCCCCACCACAGTGTTAGGGCCTCTACTGAAACACCTGCAGTGCCTGGAAGACCCCACATTTATCCAAGGGTCTGCCCTGTTCCCACATGAACTTCTAGCCCCAATCCAGTGGCTCCCAGCTCTACTTTTGGGGGACGCATGAACATCAGGAGTCTCCAAATCATGCTTATATTCTTCCCAACATAAACTTGGACCTCAATCCCCCCGATTCCACTTCACACTGCTGTTGAGCTCTTAAGGTTTGAAGTCCCTGCACTCAGAGCTGCAGAGGCCCCAGTTTGACTCCAACCCTTCTCCTCCAAGAGTCTGGCCCTCACCTCGGGGCTCCATTTCCCTTTGATTATATTGATCACATCTGCACATTGAGCATGAATAAGATGAGAGGGGACTCGGCAGGATTGGGAGAGGCAGCAGGGGAGGTTTCTTTAACATCACCATGGAAGCCTCAGGCCATGTGCACTGGGTGTGATTTTGGAAGTGGTAGAGCCAGACAGCCATTCTTGGGCCCTGGGTTCAGCCCAGCTCATTGGGACTCTCAGACATTAGGAATCTCTGGAAGGGAGACTTGTTGTTGAGACCCATTTTCAAGGGTTTACCACACACTCAGCTCTGTGTGATCTTGACAAGTCCACCCTCTCTGAGCTCCAATGTTTTTTAAATCTCTAAAGTGTGGGACATTTCTTTATTCCATAAGGAAGAACAACAGGCAGGTGGGATGGAGAGATCGGCTGGAGGTGGAAGAAGGCGAGGAATATTGCTGAGATAGTTTTCAAATCAATGGAGGGGATGTCCATGGATGAATCACAAGGGGAGGGAATGGGTGCAAAGGCCTCACTGAGATCCAGTGACAGCAGGAGTTGCCAGGGTCTGATCTGGACCAGATTTGACTGAAGTTTTAGGGGGGACCTATATGACAGCGTTTGTTTCTATTGGCACAACTCCATACATGGACAATGTCATGGGACTCAAAATGAGTTTGGCAGAAGTTCAAAATTATGCCACAAAACTCAAGAAGTAGCTAAAATATCAGATTTTTATTTTTATCTTTTTTTTTTTTTTTTTTGAGACAAAGTCTTGCTTTTTTGCTCAGGCTGAAGTGAAATGGTACAATCTTGGCTCACTGCAACCTCTGCCTCCCAGTTTCAAGCAATTTTCCTGCCTCAGCCTCCCGAGTAGCTGGAATTACAGGCACCCACCACCGCACCTGGCTAATTTTTGTATTTTTAGTAGAGATGCGCTTTCATGATGTTGGCCAGGCTGGTCTTGAACTCCTGACCTCAGGTGATCCACCTGCCTCGGCCTCCCTAAGTGCTGGGATTATAGGCGTGAGCCATCATGCCCAGCCAATATTGATTTTTTTTGTTGTTGTTTTAAGACCAAGTTTCACTCTGTTGCCCAGGTTGGAGTGCAATGACGCAATCTCAGCTTACTGCAACCTCCGCCTCCCGGGTTCAAGTGATTCTTCTGCCTCAGCTTCCTGAGTAGCTGGGATTTTAGGTGCTCAACACCACATCCAGCTAATATTTTGTATTTTTTTTTTTTAGTAGAGACAGGGTTTCACCGTGCTGGCCAGGCTGGTCTCGAACTCCCGACCTTAGGTGATCCACCCACTTCAGCCTCCCAAAGTGCTGGGATTACAGGCATGAACCACTGCGCCTGGCCTCAAATTTTTAAAAGGACAAAACCAATGAGAAACCTTTTGAAAATATAATTCTAGAAAATAAAGGATGGGAGGAGTAGCGCAGAAGCTCTGAGGAGAGGTGAACCCTGAAGACTTTGTGAGCAACCAGCACCTGAGCCAAAAAAGACAGTATTGATTCTCCAGACCTGAGACAAGGCAGGAGGAAATCTGAGCATAGAGAGATAGTTCTCCAGGCCCTATGCTACTTCTGATCCCTTTCTGCCCCAAATCCTACAAATAGGACTCTAGTATTGAGTATACTTGGGGCCACCAGGGGACTGTGAGGCCTAGGGAGCCAGGGTAGAGCTGGCTGCTTCCAAAGATGAGAAACTGTGGAGATAAGGAAAGTGGAGGGATAATACCTCAGTGTAAAGTCCAAAATCATGTACAAGCCCTGTTCCGTGATGTTAATGTCCACTGGCCGCTCCTTGGTCCTTTGATGATAATTACTTAGTGACTCAACATGACATCAAAAGAAAGGAATGTAAACATCAGTAACCAAAATGAGGCCCACTACCCTAGAGGCAAATATGAGAAAATCAGAAAACAAGCCTTCAAGTGGAAGTGCCTCAGTGAATTTACACTTGTTTGAGCCCACAGAGCTAATACCAAAGCTTCACTTAGAAAACCTCTTATGTCTTAAAGTTATAAGACAGGATAGAATTGGATTGGTATACACTATACCACATGAGGGTCTAAGACCTGGACCAGGTTTCACTGAAGTTTTAGGGGAGCCTTTTATGGTAGCATTTTTTTCTTTTGGCACATTCCATAAATAGAAAATACCAAGTAGCTCAAAAATGGGTTTAACAGACAGGCATTGTGGCTCACGCTTGTAATCCCAGCACTTTGGGAGGTAAAGGCAGGCAGACCACCTGAGGTCGGGAGTTCAAGATCAGCCTGACCAA